AGGGGCTGTGAATCCTAGCCTGAAGCTGCCATCTAAATGCCAATGCCTACAGTGACTGTTTTATAGGCAGAGCCCGAGGGGCGGTTTCTCTCATGACAGTGTTTTCACATTAAAATACAGTTCATGTTGGACAAGGCTTTTTGCTTTTGTTGTACCCTTCCCAATATTTTCTTCTCTTTCATTTTTAGTATTGATCCTGTACTTTGTTGAAAGGAAATAATTTCAAAACCTTACTCTCTCCAGCAGCAAGTCACGGACTCATGATTTCTCTTCCAGCCTACCATCACAGCAATAAAAACCCTCAAATCACATAGAATTTAGGCTGCCTCTTGTCACAGTCAAGTGCATGGCATCTCCTTGGAGCAGGTCCTTAAATTAAAACATTGCAAATTTTTTGCTCTTCAAACACTACTGCAGAAACATGAGTGGCCGAGGAGAGAGGATTTTTTTTCCCTCCTGCTGGAATTTTTCACTATAACCATCCTCGGGAGAGTTCTCATCTTCAAAAGAAACATTCTTTCTATACAAGCTGCAAAAAGAATTATTTAATGACATCATAAATTAATACAGAGAGGCACAAATTTTCCAAAATGCGGACAGAGAGAAAAAAAAAAAAATTAGCGTTTGCCAAAAACACCCCAGCTCTTCCAGACTTAGGCCTCTCTTGAGCCTGTGAGCTGCCAATGATACCAAATTGAATGGTGGGGCTTTTGGCATGACTTAAGTTTAGCTTGTTTAAATTTTGGCAAATATTCGTATTACTCACATACTCAGCAAGCTGATACAAATATTTGTTCTGTTTAGAGTGAAGTCCAAACGGTGCTGGCATAAGTGCTGCTGGACTCGGTGGAACTACGCTTGCTTGCGTCAATATTAAATTTGGACATCTACCTCAAAGAAAAACAGAATAAAAAAATCCCCTAGCCTTTTGGGTACAGATTAGAATACATCAATGGAAAACAGACCTCGTCTGTCGCCAAGTTTTCCTCGCTTGCTAATTTTTGCCTTAATCTGATTTGAAATGGACCTAGTTTTTCTGCACTCGGATTGCCGTTCCCTGTTACGATGCAACAAGCCATCTAACCAGAGCTGGAGTTGAAAAAGCCTCCACACATGTGAAGTTCTCCACATTCTTGAGAAGTAAAAGCTGTTTAAACTGTAGTAAATCAAGCCCTGACGCAGTAAGCATGCTTGATCTATTTTAATGCTGTGCAGGTTGTTGGGATTTTTTTTTAATGATGTCTGCAGTTTAGTGTTTCTGATTTGAAAAACAAATAGACCATTAACTTCCTGCCTCCAGAATGGGCAGGTCCCAAATCCTCAAGGATACTTCGATGTTGCTGTGCTCTCTGTTTCTGAATGCCCACAGCTGGGCAGCACGCTGCCAGGCAGGCATCGCTGGGAACGACGCTGCACAGCCGGGTGCTTGACAGGGAGTCGCACGCTCAGCAACCGCCAAACCTACCCCGACGTGAAATGCAGAAGAAATGAAGTGGAACCTGGGTGCCTCATCCGGCCAGCCCGGTGCCACCCGCCTTGCCCATGAGCTCGCTGTTGGGATCGGATACATGAATCAGGTTAGAAATGTTGCAATGAAAAAACCCTGCCCCAAAACCGAAATAGAACAGCACATTTCCATTCCATAAATTAATACAACCAGAATGTGCTTCAGGGATGTGCTAGCTATGGATCTGTGCTCAGGTTGAATGTGATTTGTAAGCTGACCGCTATTTAGTGCTATCTAAATGCTTTTGTCAATCTCACGTAGAAGGGGGATCCCACTAACTTAACTTCAGCCATTTAGAAATGGGAAATCTAGTCTGAGTGGCTGAGCTAGGTTCCTCTCTCAGTGGAAAAAGATCATCACTAGAGAATGATTCATCCCAGTTTAATCTGAACGTCTGATCTCTCTCCATTGACTATAAAAGGAGCCCAGATTAGCATATATCCAAATTTTGCACTTTTATATGCTAACTCAGCCTTTTACAATCAGGTCCTGTGGTCGCAAATATCATGTACTATTTTTATAACTGAAAGCTTGTTATTTGCCACAGGGTTTCACAGAGCACTTGCTCAGCTCCAGTGGCTGTCTTGAGACTGAGCCGCTGCTGTGCCCTTTACAAAGGCTGACAGCAGTGCCTGCTGTGTGCTCGCAAGTTAAAACTTCAATTAATTACGTGTTCAAGTCTCCTCTACATCCCCTGCGTTAACTGAAAGCTGCTGGAACAATTCTTATAGGAGTTACTTTTAAAGCTGCCTTAAATCAATAAATACTGCACTGGTGAGCAGAAGGTGTATGAGAAATGGTTAAAAATAGAAGCAATGATTATTCATTAAAAATGACATCGTTATTCTGTTAATCATATTTGTAAAACAGGCAAAAGATCCAGTCTAGCTTGTCATTTGGACTCTGGGCTGCTGACCCCATTAATTTTTAGGTTATAGTGGCAGCATTTGTCTCGTTTAGTGTTGATTCAGTGTCACGATGAGGAATGAACTGAGCATTTCAAATAATGGTTAGTGACACCCTCAGACCTCTCCCCCCGCCTCCAACCCCTAATTCTTCACTATTGTTGTTGTAACTGATCTGCACATAAGTACAGGAACATCGTTTTGGTGCTCTTGTTATCAGGCCAGTGGCTGCTTTTAACTTAGCCTGGTAGTGCTCGGTGTATGCAGATCAATTCACGTGTCCATTAAAAAAAAGAAGCACGAGATATCACAAACAAACCAAAACCCCTTAGTCTTGCAGTGGGCAGTTACAGTTTGACGGTGTAGCTACGAGATGGTAAAAAAAGGGTCAAGTGTGCACCTTGGGAAAGTGTGAGATTGGTATAATTGGACAGTAGGAGACAGAAGAAAGACGAGGCAACCCGGGCAACCCGTAATTCACCACGGAACATTTTTATACTAATTATTGAAATGCACCCAGAGACAGCTTATAGTAGTAAAATGACTTTATGTTCTGATATGTAAAATAAAATGTCCATGCTATGTAACAAACATTTAAAAATTCCATACCACCTGTATCTAATGTGGTTTCTAATAAAGATTTATCTGTAGTATATATGTTTTTTATCTAACCAATTCTTAGTTTTTACATCAAAGGTGTGTAATTAAAAAAAAAAAAATCTTAAATAGATGTCTTTCCAAAAAAAACCTTGCAACATTCATTTTTATTATTTCATTCGTAAAAAGCAAAGCTGAATTGGACACGTGGCCTGCATTTGTGATATATATATATTTTTTATATATATATATATATAATATATATATGTATATAAATAGCTATTCAGCATGCAAAAATTGTAGTGATTTCCAAAATCTGATTACAAAATCCACACCGGTCACACACACAGTCTGCTGAGTGGGTGTATGAGATATTGTCCTGGTTGAAACGTGACCTCCACTTTAGTGGCCTCAGGGTTGTCTCACTGCAAGCAGCCGCCCTCATCCATCAGCCTCTCTTCACTGGAATGGATTCATCAAAACACAGAAGTACCTCCCGACTTCCAAATTTGTATTTCAGCTTTTTGCCTTTGCCCATTTGGGAAGCGGGGGGCGGGAAAACCCCCGCTGTGCATGACTAGAGCTTAAATATTGCGCTCTTTAGTGGAACCAAACTCCCAGCATCACCTTTGTGTTGCCATGCCTGGGACAGCATCGCCTGGGAGCTCAGCAGGACGGACACACTGCAGTCCGGAGGAGGACGCATCCCCGCTCAGGAGCTTTTCAGGTGAAGGCAATGGGAGTTTCATTCCAGAAAGAGCGCAGCTTGCTTGCCCAGGCGAGGCCGTTTCATGCCGTGGCTGTCGGCTGAGTGATCCCTCCTTACCTCGTGGGGACACTCTGGTAGGCAAAGCCAGCGCTGAAGGAGTCAGTTCAAGATACTTCCACAGTAAACAATAGTAGCAATGCATACACTGGTTACAGATTTTCACCTGTTCTACAAATATTTGTACACTGTAAAGCCTGACAGGTAATGGGAACTCATCCCACCCCATCCCACAATTAAGAAAATATTCCTCTATGCCTCCTTTATGCTGAAAACAATTCTTTCCGAGTTAGCGGCAAAAGAAAAAAACATAGCACAAAAGGCATGTTTCAGCTGAATGCGAAAGAAATCAAGGACCAGCAAATACAGAAATCGTTTCTGGAAAGTATTAGCGACTTTTAAGCTTAAACTTCATAAATATATTGCAATAAGCAAGTGTGATTCAATCAACGGATGGGAGTCTGAAGACACTGGGTCTGTTCCTAACGCTGCAATTAATTTGCTGTTTGGCCTCGGGCATAACGCTTCACTTCTTAGTTTCCCACAGCCACGAACGATGGTGTTGTGGGGGGGAAGAAGAGACATTTGTGCATCGGTGCCTTCTCCTCTCCGTGCCATGGCACGAACCCTGCGCTGCACCAGGGAGGTACCGGAGCAGCACTGCAGCTCCCTGACCCCACTGCTGAGCCTCCCCGCCGGCCCCTGCGCTCCTACGGCTCCGTCACTTCCAGAGGAAGAAGGAATTTCTACAGCTAGAAAGAGCTAAAGAAGTGCTGCTACAGCAGTCTTTGAACTACGCAACCGAACAGATCTCTTTTTCCTTTGTGTTTTGGGATGCTGTGACTTCACAAACTAAGTACCATAAAAGTGAAGCTCATATTTTTCCCAAATAGCCAAAATTTGCTCATGGATGTTGAATATTACAAGCAAAAGAAAATGACTAGCTACTTCACTTGTTAGTCACAAAGGTGGTTCCTACTGGATCAGTAATGAAGACGCGAGAATTAATTTATTTGGGAGTCAGTAAGAGACTGATGAATCCAGCCCGCCGAGACAGGAGATGTAATTCTCTGTGTGTCTGAAGATACAAGCTCTTCACCCACGCAAATCCCTCTGGAAATGCACATTTGTCTCACCGAAGTGCAAGTTACCCACAGGTATCAACACTGATTGAACACTGTTCTGGAGCAGTAACGTTGGCTGTGGCATCGCTTGGCCGTCAGAGTCATCCGTCAGTCCAGTTCTCCACAGTCCCCATCCCTGAATGATACTGCAGCGACGACTCCCTCGACAAGGAAAAGCTTTGTGAGTACAGGAATTCGTTCGCCGCATTTAGGTGCGGAGAGGGGGGTTTTCTCTCGCACACAGACGGGTGCACCCTTTCCCTCGGGAAAGATGAAGAAGGAACGCGCTCCCGAACCTGAGACTGGGACAGCTGGTTGTAGACACTGAAATGGCTGTTACCTGGTGGCTGCGAGCCTTGACCCGTGATGGACGGAAGCCGCGGCATCATGGTGGTGGCAGTAAAATGAGCAGGGAAAGGCTGGTAAGGGACAGTTTCCATTGTCTGAACACTGTAGCTGGTGTAAGGTGCGACAGAAGTCCACATATTGCAGCTCAAGGGGGGAGGTGGAGGCGGCAAGTCGTCAACCGTTGAGACACCGGCAATTTCAGCCCCAGAACTAGAGTACATGCACGCTTCCCTCGGTGTCACCTCGCTGCAATAAGAAGGGCTTAACATCTGCTGATCATACGGAGGCGGGGAACGGAAATAGTGATCGTCTCCTACAGAAGACGAGGCTTCCAGGTAGGAGCGTTTGCAGGGCAGGTCCAGGTGCCGAGCGCTTTCTGCAAACAAAAAAAATTCATGTTCAGGAGCAGCTCCCAGAGCGACGGCGTTTAACAGCAATCTGCTGAGAGCCTGGGGTGGTTTTATGGAGTCCTCTTAGAAGCCGAGCATGCAATCTGTGATTATTTCGCTAAACAACTGGTGCTCTTTTTCAGATTAATCCAGTTAAACCATTTTAGTTTGAAAAAACAATGTACAACATCAAAAAGACATTGTGTTGCAAATGTCAGGCTAATCCCCTCAGCCTCAAAGCATTCTGGTGACATTCATCAGGTTAAGTGAGTGACTTGGGCTACTATTCTCACATCAGAGATTACTTCACGTTCATCCAGATAACAGAGGTCCCTGACACTCTTGCAGTGTTACTCCTGACAAATTCAAGAAGTCTCTTAAAGGGTCTTATCGCAGCCTGCCTTCCTGTCGTTACAAAAATGACTATACATTTCCCAGATATTCATGTCAAAAGCTGCAGAAATATTTCCAGATAAAGGAGCCCTTTCCCAGTCATCAGTCCCTCCCTCAGCTTTATGCTGAGAAGCTCTCGCCCCTCTCCTACCGATTACGATGGCTGTGGCCGTGTTTACCAGCAGCTTTCTGTTAGTTGTTAGGAATATTCTCTGGATGAATTAGTGAATTCATCTGCAGATTAAACATCTGCTAAAATTACACATTTGCCTTGCAGTCCTCATTACTGGTGGTGTTAGATTCTTCATTTGCCCATGATCAGAGGATTCTCACAGCTTAAATAGATTAGTGGCCAATGAGACATGCAAATAGAAGGATTTTTTTTCTGTGCAAAATTTTTCCATTTAACTTAAAACATGCCATGATCTCATCTGATGCTGGACTAAAAGGAAGAGAATGTAGTTACAGCTCACTTAAACTTGAGAACTAGTGGATAAGAAGAAAGGGATGCTTACACACAGCTACCACAATCCCACTAATCTGCAGACATAGAATTGCTACTGGCTTCATCCTGGAAAAGTGCTGAATGTGTATAATTCCATTAATGCTAAAGGCAGTGTCAGAACACCTCAGGATAGATGAGGCCTCCTCCAAACAATTATCAGTTCAGCTGATTCTAACAATGGATAATTTTCCAGCGTAGCTTCATGCCGTTTGAATTATGCCCTCTGATATTTTTTTTTTCGGCTCTGACTCAGGAGTCTGAATTTGCCTTCTATGGGACAAAACCACCCGTAACTGCCCAAAACCCCAGCTCTTGGGCCCTGACCCTCCAAAACACTTTGACCACATCAGTATCTTTGAAGATCAGGGCCTAAGAAACTGATCCAAAACGAACTGGGATTAGTGATAAGTCTTTCAGTGCTCATGCTCTTAGGTTTATTTGCTGTAATATTTTTCTAGCTGTAAACTCGAGTTACCTCTTCTTTTTAGGCAGTGATAGAAGAGCCCTGAATCTCTCTGTGCTGTGAAGGTGTTGAGTGGCAGATCTTGAGTATCTGAAGCTGCAAATTGCATGTGAGCACCGTTCTCATACTGATAATGTTGAAGGGTCTGGTGATTCCCATGAAGTGGGTTAACATCTGGCTTTGTTGAAAGCTGGCCATGACTGGACACCAACCTCTGCCTCATGATGCTTTTGGAAATTACTGGATATTCTTTGCTAAAAGAGGTGAGAAAAGTTATTACCAATTAGACAGCAATCAGCATTAACAGAAAGATGAAATATTAGTTTGGCTTCCCTAGGGCTTTCCATCCAAGGACTTCAACACCCGTTGCCAAATCTGATGAACTCATACTCATCACACTCTGCTCGGTGTGGGCAAGCATTACGACAACACACAGACTGTGTCACTGAATTCCAGGAAGAGCTTTTCAGGGGTATAAATGGCATTAAAAGCCCTAATGCCCTCAAGCACAAGAAAATGTGATGCCCTCACAGCATAGGCACCTTTTAACTGCTTCTCCAAAGAGGCGCAGCACATCAGTAGCAGAATGAGGACGAAAGCCCAGCTGTAAGGCTGTATTTCTGCACGGGGCACGGGTCTGAAGGGTGCGCTGGCTGGCTGCGTGTCGGACACCGCCTGCCCATAGACGCTGCCCGGGTTCAGTGCACCCACGCACACACACGTGCACAGGGGTGCACACTGCAGCAGCTCCCCGACCCCGACGAGCCGGGCGGGAGGCCGCCCCGCTGAGCACCTCCTCGCCGCCATCCCTCCTCGCGCCCCTCGGCTGTACCTTTGCAGTCGTGCCACGCGCAGGTCGCTGTCGTCGCTCCCCCTGAATCCTTTGGCAAAGGGGTTGTTTTCAATTTTCAGCTGGGTTATCTTTAAAAGAATGAAACCATAAAGCGTTTGAAAATAGATCAGACCAATAGGTGCAGCAGCAGGTCTGAGGCTGTAGGTCTCTAGGTGCCCTGTCCTACGCGACACCCTGCGAAATGCAGAGTCCACGAGAGTTTCAGCCATCTAAAGACGTGGTGGCAGAGACGGCGTTCCTGCATTCAGCGCTGAGAGAGAAACTGAGCTGTGGAGTTCGGTGCTAGATCTTGTAGAAGCAGGTTTTAAAGCTGAAAAATTGCTGATTATGAACGAGGACAGGAATGCAAATTTCCTTAAGTCTGGGTCCTGTGTTCTTATTCTGGGCTCTTGTTAGCGAGAATGTATTTGTCTGATTTAAAAGAGGATTTCCTACGTCTCCATGTTAGAGACCCCTATTCCTTACAGTGTGGCTCTCCCTCATTTCCATAACAATTTTATATATCTTTACATACAGTCATTTTTCCTCTGTGAAAAGGCTCAAACAGTGAATTGTCTTTGGGCAAGGGAAAGTTGCTGCCTTTTGCAAGAACTGCCTTTCCCCCCAGGAGCTGCAGTGTATTAAAAGGGTCAAAATGCCTTAGAATTGACTTAGACTAGACAATTTTGATGGAGCTCAGCGTTTTTAAGGGAACTGTGAAAGCTCTGCCATTTCATGAAAACCCTGTTAAAAAAATTATGTGTGAAATTTCCTTTAAAAATATTTGCTAGTTCGTCTGTCTTACAGCCCCAGTAAATATAGTTTTCCCTCGCCAATCCTGCCACCCCATCCCTTCCCTGTATAAGGCAGGTACAAACCAAAGCC